CAGATGAGCCCCTGCCATCTTACCAGAAATGAGAAGAGGCTCTTGTACTAAATAAGATTTGCATATTGCATGATATCAACTATGTACAAGTTACCTTAATATGATAGACATGGTTGCAAATACAATGAGAAAGACCTAAATGTCAGGTCTTATTCCTTCAAGAACCTAAGCTGTTTTCCCACCAAGTCCATGTGACATCATGAAGAGTGTGGTGCTTATGACACATACACTCATTTACAACACAATCTGAGGAGTCATGAATGATGCCGAACATTCATGCGATCATCAGCAAACATTCCAATCTGACCTTACGATAGAGGGTAAGTCATTGAGGAAGCAACTGAAGGTGACTGGACTGAGATGCAACCCTGAGGAATTCCTGCAGTAATTTCCCAGAACTGAAATCATTGACTCCAACAGACATGGAGGGAACATTGATTCATCAACTGAGGTTAGGGCTTTTGGTTGGTGGTAAACAGCAAAAGACTTCCTTGACCATGATTGTCCTGATGCCATGAAATATCATAATGTTCAAGTCATTGTTGAGGACTCCCAGGGTATCTCCTTCCCAACTGTGTACTATTGCTCTGCCATTTGTGCTTGTTTCTATCAGTGCGGCAGCACATACTCAGGAATTGTAATGGTGGTATCGGGGATATTGTCTTGTAAGGTATGAGTTAGCGAATATGACTATGTCTGTGGGACAGCTGTCCCAATTTTTGCACAATCCCCTAGATGTTTGTAATGAGAATTTTGTATGGTCAACAGAACTGGCAACAGGTTGTTTCTTGTTGTTATTTCCAGTTCATAGGTCCATCCAGTTTCATTCCTTTTAGACTTAGTGGTGGTTTAATACAATTGAATAGTTTTCTAGACCATTTACAGAGGTTATTTAAGAGTCACCCACACTGTCTTGGGTGTGGAGTCATGTGTGGGCCAGTCCAGATTTCTTTCCCTACACTGGATTAGTGAACCAGATGAGTACTTACAACAATGGTTTCATATCCTCAATTACCAGGAATAGCTGTTAATTCCAGATTGTATTAATTGTACTTAAGTTCTTTCAGCTGTCATGGTGTGGCTTGAACTCTTCTACCCAGAGGATTAGCCACATCCTCTGGTTTGCTAATTTAGCAATATTACTACCACACCATCATCTTCCTCGAATGGGAGGGGAGGGATGTAGAATGTAGAAGGACTCAATGATAGTGTGCCATTGGTGCAGGGGATTGCTTAAAAAAGAAATCAGGAGAGCAAAGAGGGTACATGATAAAATGGTAGATAACATTAAAGAAAATCTAAAGACTTTTTATATGTATATTGGGGCAAGAAAATAACCAAGGAAAGAGTAGGGTTCACGAGGGACCAAAGTAGCAATCTGTGTGTGTCTACAAGACATGGCTAAGCTTTTGAATGAGTAATTTATGTCTGTATTCAGTATAGAAAAGGGTTGTATCAATATAGAAATTAGGGAGGGCAACTGTGATATACTTGAACAAATTAACATTAAGAGAGAGGAAATATTAACAGTTTTATTAGGTTTGAAAGTGGACAAATCCCTGGGCCTCAATGAGATGCATCCCAGGCTGCTGTGGGAGATAAAGGAAGAAATTGCACCAACTGATTGCATTGACATTAATTTGCAGATCCTCTCTGGGCACAGGAGGAGTGTTAGAGGGCTGCAGGACAGCAAATATGGCACCATTGCTCAAGACCATAGGCCAGTGGGTCTAACATCTGTGGTAGGGAGACCACTGAAAAAAATTCTGAGGGAAAGAATTAATCTCCACTTGGAGAGGCAAGGATTAATCAAGGATAATCAATATGGCTTTGTCAAGGGACGGTCACATCTAACAAATTTGAATTTTGAAGTTGTAAGCATGCTCACCAAGCCGATGGGTTTGGTTGCAAATGTTTCGTCACCCTGCTAGGTAACATCGTCAGTGCGCCTCCGGTGAAGTGAGGGTGTTCGGTCCTGCTTGTTATTTATATGCCTCGGTTTGCTGGGGTGGTTGATACTACTTCGGTTTACTACCACTGAGAAACAAAACTGGAAGTTTTGCACATATTTACTGGTGGGATTCGAAGAAGTACAGAGGATCAGAGAGACTTTGATGTGCTTGTCCATTGATCTTTGAAGGCAGTGGGATAGGTAGATAATGTAGTTAAAAAGACATATGGATTCTTGTCTTTATTAGTTAAGGCATTGAATATAAGAGCAGTGAGGTTAATATAGCATTAGTTAGGCTGCAACTGGAGTACTGTGTGCAATTCTGGTCACCACACTATCGGAAGCATGTAATTTCAGCAGAAGGTAAGAAGAGATTTATCAGGGTGTTGCCTTGTATGGAGCAATTCAGCTATGAAAAAGGATTAGATAGGTTGGAGATAACACAGTGTGGAGCTGGAGGAATACAGCAGGCCAGGCAGCATCAGAGGAGCAGGAAAATTGCCGTTTCAGGTTGGGACTTCAGAAAAAGGGTCCTGACCTGAAACATCAACTTTCCTGCTCCTCTGATGCTGCCTGGCCTGCTGTGTTCCTCCAGCTCCACACTGTGTTATCTCTGACTCCAGCCTAGGTCTAGGCCCGAAATGTTAACCTTCCTGCTCCTATGATGCTGCTTGGCCGGCTGTATTCATCCAGCTCTACACCTTGTTATCTCAGATTCTCCAGCATCTGCAGTTCCTACTATCTCTCATACTATCTCTTAGTTAGGTTGGAGTTGTTTTCCTTTCAACACAGGAGACTAAGGGGGTGGGAGGTGGAATCTGATTGAGTGTATAAAGTTCCGATGAGCATAGACAGGATAGATAGAGAGAATTTCTTTCCCTTTAGTAAAGTGGTACAGTTTAAGGAATAAGGAGATTTAGAGGAGATTTGAAGAAATTTTTTTAAACCAGAGGGCTGGAGCTATCTGGAACTCATTGCCTGTATGTGTTGTTGAGGCAGGAACCCTCAAGATATTTAAGAGCTATATAAATGAACACTTGAAATGCCCTAGCATACAAAGCCACAGGACAAGGGCTAGAAAGCTGGATTAGAATAGATGTTTGATGACCAGGATGGACACAATGGGCTGAAGGGTCTCAATCTGTGCTGTAAAACCTCAGACTGAATGAATCTATTGACTTGGTAAAATATTTAATTGAAGGTCGATTTGAAATTAAAGGCTAGAAACTCAGACTTCTCTGATCTGACAGATAGATTGGCAAGGAGAATGTCTCACTCTAGTGCAAAATACTTCAATATTACTGATGGAATATTATCAGGGGCTATAGTCTACATTGCGTAAAGCATGCTTCACTGCTTATCTAGTGCAGTGAACCTAACTGTCTGGTATCATGGACAAAAGGGAGAGGTGAATTGAATTATCTCTCTTGCTGTTCCATTCTTGACTGAACAGAAGTGTTTGTTTTTAAATTTGTTTACAATTCCATCTGTTTTCGGGAATCCGTTGTTGATTGCCAGAAAAATTCATCTGGTTCAGTAATGTCTATTAGGGAAGGAAATTACCATCCTTATCTGGTCTGGCCTACATGCGACTCCAGGCCCAAATCAAGGTTGTTGACTCTTAAATGCCCTCTGGGTAATTAGGGATGGGCAATAAGTATTGACCAGTGACACCCTCATCCCATGAATGAATACAAACAATAATCACATTATTGAAATATGGGGCAATGTTTTTCCTAATCCTTTAACACACACACATGCACGCACACACATACTTAAGATTAAAAATATTGGCATTATTTCATGTGAAGTAGAGACCAATAAGTCAATGTCCAGTAGAAGTCCTAATATTGGATATGCATAGATTCCCTATCTCAGCTCAGGTTCAGTTGAAGGTGCTGTAGTTGTAAACTGAGAATTGGTTCACTTTGCAGGTGAAATATAGGATTCTTTCTGGAAGTAAGGCATTTGACAAGAGGCAGACATTAGCTAAGCCAAGAGCTAATTTTGTAGTTTTTGTTTTACTTCTGTTGTTGCAAGATGATTGATGGAAGTCAAAATTTGTATAACTAAAAATGATTCACGCCACAATTCATCCCAGATGAGCCCTGATGGCATGTTAGGGTGGCACAGCGTCTCAGTGGTTAGCAATGTTGCCTCTCAGCGCCAGGAACCCAGGTTCAATTACACTCTTGGTGACTGATTGTGTGGAGTTTGCACATTCTCCCAGTGTCCGTGTGGGTTTCCTCCTACGGTCTGAAGATTTGCAGGCTAGGTGGATTAGCCATAGGAAATGCAGGATTACAGGGATAGGGCAGGGGGGTGAGTCCAGGCAGGATGCTCTTCAGGGGATTGTTGTGGACTTGATGGGCCAAATATTCTGCTTCCACACTGTAGGGATTCTATGAATTCAGCTAGCAGCTTCATTCATGTCACTGTATCTTTAGGTTGAGTCACTTTAGACAATGGGATCATCCAAACGCATTGTATTGTTGAAGATAATTGAGGAGAAGTTAGCATCAAGTCAAGTGTAACGGTTGTGACTGAGTTTGTTTGGAAACCAAACCTGGATATGGAGACACATTGCCTGGGGTTCCTCGGAGTTGTCTTGACTGGAACGTTGATACAAATAGGAGGTGTGACATCTCAGAGATGATAATTTAGCTTTCCTTCTGGTAACTGCTGGAAATTACTAGAAACAGCCAACTTGCCCATTACGTGTTCAATCAGCATTCAAAATCCAGAAAGTGGCCAGGAGAAATTTAAATATAAGACAATATAGTATAAAGAAAGTCTTTCTTTATGTCTTCTGGATATGATACTGTCATCCAGGAACGAGGATCTCAGAAGAATAACAAAAACAGAAACTGTTGGAAAAAGCTCAGCAGGTGTGGCAGCATCTGTGGAGAGAAATCAGAGTTGACATTTCGGGTCCGGTGATCCTTCCTCAGAAGAATAATTCACTCGTCACTTGTGATTTAAGGTATAAAGAAATCAGACATTCCCTCCCAACCCTGTTGAAAATGCAGAATCACACAAAAAGACTGGATAGAATCAAGTCATATTTAATTACAAAAGGCACATTGTGAAAAGATGTCAATGCATTCAACATTGTAAATACAGTCACAGTATTTGAATCCTTCATTCGATCTTCATTCCTGTTAAAAATATATACTTCTACCACTTCATAATTTAACAATCTTTTCCAGGTTAACACAGTCATTTTTACAAAAATGAACATTAAATTAAGCAAAAAGAAACATTTGAATACAATAATTTACACACGGTATTGCACATAAACAATAAATAGTCATTTTGCTTCCTCTTTCTTTAGTAATTAGCCAAGCGAGCCAAAGGTGCTTTATAAACCAAGCCATTAGTTAATTGTTGTAAGCAAGTGGAGAGTACCAATACCACAGAAAGCTTTGTTGAGTGATATATTCCGTGTCTAAATAACATTACTGAGGCCATCAGACATTTTGAACCAACCTCAGTTCATTGTTGCAAGTTCGATTTTAAGATGTTGTTAAAGTATTGGTGCTAAATTTAAAAAGTTGACCAATTCAAGCAAGTGTTTTTCTAATTTCTGCTGTCTGAAGCACCCGAATTTCTGGTGTCACTGACTGAAGGTGTTTGTCATGGATCGCGAATGCTGGAGATATCTCAGATATGACGCATGAAAGGGACAATTCTCTGAAGGTGTTCTACAATCTGAAGCCTCCCTCACCAGCTACCCACACGCCTTAGGCATACTGGCCCATGAGGACAGCTCTCTGTAGGAGACATGCAGCTGGGGAAATGGCCCTGATGTAAATTAAAATCATCCTGAAAATGAGACCAAATGGAGAGATGGTAGGGACGTGGGAACCGTGGGAGTGGGTCTTGCAAAAGAGGTAAAGGGAATGAATCCTTATTTTCTAATAATGAGATAATGAATCTCAAAAATGAGATAGGAAAACTAGAGGACACAAATGATAATATAATAGGCTCTGAACACCTTTAGTCTGCATGTGGTCTGGGTACTTGTTAAGTGTTAACAATTAGTTCCTGATCTGATCTATAAAGAAGGGTGTTGATAGTTTGTAATATAGACAGATAGGGATTTTGAGTGAGAGACAATTAAGCGTGGAGCTGGAGGAACACAGCAGGTCAGGCAGCATCAGAGGAGCAGGAGAGTCAGTGTTTCAGGTCCAGACACTTCATCAGATGTGGGAGGGATAAGGGAGCTAGGAAATAAATAGAGAGAGGATGGGGGTAGGTAGGTGGGATAGTGATAGGTGGATGCAGGTAGGGGGTAGTGGCGCTGGTCAGTGGGAAGGGTGGGGCGGATCGGTGGGAAAAAAGATGGGCGGGGTGTGTCAAGTCAAGGAGGCGGGGTTGAGAGGGAGGGTTGGACATGGGATGAGGCCGGTGGGTAGGGAAATTTTGAAAATGGTGAATTCTATGTTCAGGTTATTGGGCTGTAGGCTCCCAAGGCAGAATATGAGGTGTTGCTCCTTGAGAGAGATGTTTTTTGAGGAAGCACTCACAGGTTCTTTTATTTCAGTAACAAGCCACTCACACTCTAGCTTATTAAAATATGTAGTACACTCACTCTGATTCAGCTTCTCAAACACACCATAATTTCTTTCACAGCACTCTGAATTCAAGAGAATATAAGCTACTTGAGGTCTCCTTTAATTTAGAAAAAAAGTGCAATGTCTATAAAGCCTGAGCTTGCTTTCAAGTTTAAAAATCATACCATTGTTTCCTTGCCAGTGGGCTGGTACACAGCCTGCATCCTGAAGGCTAGCACTTGCTGCAGTTCTGTCAGAAGACTGTGATTCTTCCCTGCCTGGCTCTGCAACAGTTGCTGGAAGGAATCCTGCTCCAATAAAGGCAGCATATTCTTAAGGAAGTATCCATTGCAGTAGGCAATCAGCTCATTGGCCTTGAGAACCTTCACAATATAGAATCAAAACTTCAGAAGAAAGAATCGTACAAAATAGAAGGAAGCCGTTTGGCTCATTCTGACTGGGAATGTCCTTTAAGAAAACAATCCAAATAGTCCCACTATCCTATCTTTTCCTTTTCACATATTTATCCAATCTCCTTTTGAAGCGTACAATTGAAATTGCTTCTCATGGAAAGCATCCCAGATGACAATGATTTGCTGCTACACGAACTCAATTATTTTCATTGTTGCCTGTATGTCCTCCTGCCACTGGAAATTTTCTCCCTATTTAGTCCATCAAAACTCATCAGTGCAAGAAGTCAGAAAATGTCAGAAAACCGTGGAATTTATTTTCAGGAAATGGGAATAAGAAGGAAATGATTGGGTTTCAACTGTGCTGTGCTGCTGTTTAGTAACTTTCAGCTCAGGATTCAAGTCCTTATACATTTCTGTATAAACTGTGGTCACAAATTTAATGCATCACAAGATTGTTAACAGCATAGTGACCAGATAATCTGCTTCTAGTGATTGTGGTTGAATGGTAAATATAGCTCGGGACACCAGTGGCCATGCCCTTCATCTCTTTTTAAACAAGATCTTTTCCATGAACCATAGAGGGCAGACATGTCCCTTTTTATTCCACTATCTAACAGATACCTGGCAGTGCAGCATCTCCTTGCCTCTGTTTCGAATATTTGATCCACATGGTTAATTATCCACATGTTATTGAACCTGACCAATCTAAAGATTTAAAATGGATCATGTTCATATTTGTTAAGTGTAGTTATACTGTGCTCAGTGTTTATCAAGTTGCAAGGAATTCAGGGCAATATCCAACAAAATAGCTGATCTCTTCTTACCTTGGCCCGTTGGTACATATGTGGGCTGTTAACAGGTGTCAAGTTTCTTGAACAGATGACCTCGCAGTGGCGTGTCAGAGGGTTTAGCTTGAAGATGCTGGAGGCTGAGAGAACCTGCAAAAGACAGTCATAAGCAGTCAGTCAAACTATTCAGATATGAGAATCAGTCACATCCCTCCATACCATTACAACCATTCCACACTTTATCCTATCATAGTCTCTACTTGGTCATTGAATCTTTTCCTAAATATTACTTATAACTCACCCAACCATTTAATCCCCTTCCATAACCCCTACGCACTGTATGCTATCATGGATTCTCCCCAACACATTTGTTGGAAAACAAGCATTCATGTTAACATATTTTTGTAGCCTGCGTTCTCACAGCTCACCTAACCAGTACGGCAAGTCTTGCGGACTATAATCCTTAGCTGAATTTCCCAGTAGCAATGAAGTTAATTGTATACACCACCCTGTTAATGCACCATGGATATCTGATTCATTGGGAAAGGGAATAGATTACCAGTCTGAGTGCTCATCCTTTTGACATAAGACTGTGGAATATAGAGAACTATCACAAAGAAAAAGATATCTTACCTCCAGGGCTTGATTTTTACTGATGCCAAGTCTCTCTGTCCCTCCGTCATAAATATACTGAGCCATGCACTGCCAAATAAAAAATCAAAATGAAACATTCTATGCACAAAATTTGTCTTTCTACAACAACAACAACAACAACGACAACAACAACAAAAACAAAGTTGCTGGAAAAGCTCAGCAGGTCTGGCAGCATCTGTGAGGGAGAAAACAGAGTTAACGTTTCGGGTCCGGTGACCCTTCCTCAGAACAGCTGAGGAAGGGTCACCAGACCCAAAACATTAACTCTGTTCTTTCCTTCACAGGTGCTGCCAGACCTGCTGAGCTTTTCCAGCAACTCTGTTTTTGTTCCTGATTTACAGCATCCGCAGTTCTTTCAGTTTTTATTTTGTCTTTCTACAGTTGCTATCAGAATGTCCCAAGGTGTTTTATAGTCAATGAAGTGCTTTTGAAATAACATCACCACTGTTTGGCAAGCAAGTGGCACACAGCTGTGACCCACAAAATCAGCAGTCCGATGAAGCACCATTTAATTCAGATTGTCTGCTTCTGATTGAGGTCTGGCAAGACGCCTTAAGTTAGCCACCAGCACCAGGTGCAATATGATTACAGGATTACCTGGTTCTATGTAGAATTTGGTATTCCATTAATAGTTACCTTGAATGTATTGTACTGGATATCCTTAATCTCGATGGGGTTACAGGTCTTAACATCAGGATGGTAGGCTGCAATAAGCTTTTTGAACCTGAAGAGGGAGAAAAACATCCATGACTACAGGAAGTATCCTGTGTGGATAAATCATTCAATACTGCAATAACAACACTGCTGTATTAGATTTTGAAATAACCCTAAAATGAAGTAATTTGGACCAGGTGTAAGGGTCATGAATGTGATTCTCGGCGACACTCCCCAGGAAAATCCTGTGCAGTGATTCAATGTTACTGAGGAATTACAGAATGGTTACAGTGGAGAAGACCATTCAGCCCCATTGTATCTGCACCAGCTCTCTAAATGAGCATTTCATTTACTGCCATTGTACCATATTCTCCCTGTAATCCTGCATATTGCTCCTTTCCAAGTAGCAGCCTAATTTTTTTTTGAATGTGCAGAAGACAGATTCATTCAAGGCAATCAGGCAGGGCACGCTAGACCACAAAAAAAAAAACTTTCTCACAAGTTTGATAATCCTTAGAAGGCTCATGGCAAATCACTAATTAATCTCCTTGTGGAACTGTCTGTGTGGGCTTTGCACATTCTCCTGCGTGGGTTTCCACAGGGTGCTCTGGTTTCCTCCCACAGTCCAAAGATGTGCAGGTTATGTAGATTTGCCATTCTAAATTGCCCTGTAATGTCCAGGGATGTACAGACTAGCCATGGTAAATGCAGGGATGGGGGGAGGGAGGGTGGTCTGAGTGGGATGGTCTTCAGAGGGTTGGTGCATACCTGATTGATCTAATGACCTCTATCTGCACTATATGGGTTTCATTATTCCAACTCCATTTTGATTTAATCTGTTCCCTCTCGCCCTAGATTTCCTCACTTTCAACAGCTTGTAAGTATCTATTTGGCTACACAGGTATTTTACTGGTGGGGTTAGTAGATTAAAAAGAAAAGCATTAAAAAAATCATGGTGATTTTGGTGGTGGGAAAATTGCTTAGTTGTGTGTGATGGGTGATTTGGGGTGGGAAAGCCATTCAGTTGTGTGTACAAGAAGAAATAAAGCAGACCTGGGGGGCTATTGTGATGTACTGGGATTGTCCCTACCAATAGGACAAGAGATTCAGGTTCAAGTCCCACCTGCTCCAGAGGTATGTAATAACAATTCTAAACAGGATGGTTAGAAAGTATCTATAAAGGAGACGCAGGGCTCTTGTGGTGGAGTAGTAATGTCCCTACACCTGAAACCAGAAGGCCTCGAGAGATTGGACCACAACCAAAAAGTTAAAAAAACAGCAGCTCCTGGAATGGGTCTGTCTGTACTGGGCTGGAACTAGCCTATGTACACCATGAATAGTGGCTCTATTTCAACAATAAATCAGATCCCTTTCCAGTCAGGTTTCCTGAGTTATTACAATCAATTAGTTATCTCATTTCACGTATTTCTTTTGCCAATTAATTTAAATCTATGTCCCCCTCATTCTCAGTTCTTTCATAAATTGGATCATTTCCTCCCCATCTCCTCTGTCCAGCCCATTCAGAATTGTGAAAACCTCCACTACGTCTGTTCTCAGCATCTCGTTTCAAAAGCAAAAACAGTCCTAACTTCTCCAATCTATGCTCATTATTGAAGCTCCTCATTCCTGGAACCATTCTCGTAAATCTCTTCTGCATTCTCTCTGATCCATTTTTTTACATTCCATTCAGGGGATGTGCGTGTCACTGGCTGAACTTGCATTTCTTGCCCACCTCTAACTGCCTTTGAAAAGGTTGTGATGAGCTGCCTCTTGAACTGCTGCAGTCCATTTAGTGTAGGCACATTTACAATGCTGTTAAGGAGTGAGTTCCAAATTTCTATCCAGCAACAATGAAGGAATGGCAATATATTTACAAGTCAGGATATTGAATCTCTTGGAGGGGATCTTGCAGGTGGTGGTGTTCACATGTATCAATTCCTCTTGTCCTTCTTGATAACGATGGTCATGGGTATGGAAGGTTGTGTCTCAGCAGCTTTGATGTAGTTCCACACAGCATCTTGTAAATGGCATATGCTACTGACACTGAACGTCGGTGGTGAAGGGAGTGAATGCTTGTGGATGTGGTGCCAATCAAGTGGGTTGCTTCGTCCTGGATGGTGTCAAGCGTCTCGAGTGTTCTTGCAGCTGCACTCGTCTAAGCAATTGGGAAATATTTCATTGTACTCCTAGCATGTGCCTTGTTGATGAAGGATAGGCTTTGGGGGAGTCAGTTGGTAAGTTATTCATCGCAGTACTCATAGCCTTTGACCTTCCCACATAGCCACATTATTTATATGGCTTGTCCGGTTCAATTTCTGGTCAATAATAATGCCCAGGATGTCCATAATTGGATAAACAATTATAGTAATGCATTGAATGTCAATGGCATTGGTTAGAGTCTCTCTTTCTGGAGATGTTCCTTGCCTAGCATTGGTGTGGCATGATGTTACTTGCCACTTATAATTCTAAGCCTAAACACTGTACAGGTTTTGTCGCAATTGGACAAGGATTACTTTGGTATCTAAGGAGTCATGAGTGGTTCTGAATGTTGTGGAATCATCAGTGAACATTTCCACTTCTGACCTCATGATGGAAAGAAGCTTATTGACGAAGCAGCTGAGGATTATTGGGCTACATGTAGTGTAGTGAAGTCATGTAGTGAAATCCTGGAGCTGAGATGACTGGTCACCAACAACTACAACCATCTTCATGCTCAGTATGACCCAACCAGAGGAGAGTACCCCCCAATTTTGACTAAATCCAATTTTGCTAGGGATCCTTGATGCCACACCCTATCAAATGCTATCTTGATCTCAGGGCAGTCACTCTCACCTCTGTGCAGCTCTTTTGTTTATGTCTGGCCCAGGGCTCTAATGAGGTCGGGAACTGAGTGATCCTGGTGGAACCCCAAACTGGATGTCACTAAGCAGGTTATTCTTATGCAAGTGCTCCTTGAGACCATTGTCGATGACCACCGTTCCCTCTAATTATCTTTTGTCCTGCATGCACCTATGAAATCAGCAGTGGGTTTGAAAAATATAAGACTAAAACTATACCTGGGAATGGCATCAGTATGCCATTTGGTATGCACAGAACCTTTAAGCGGTTGTGTAAACACACAGCATAGAGGGAACATTGTAAGCAGTGATGGAAGGGCTTGTTTATGATTGAGAATAGACTTATAGGGTAGCAAATGGCTAAGTTAGATTTGTTTTGCTTTGTGTGTACAGGACTTGCTTGGGTAATTTTCCACATTGTTTGGTAGATGCCACTGTTGTAGCTGTACTGGAAGAGCTGGGCTAGTGGTCCCGCAAGTTCTGGAGCACAGGTCTTCAGTACTGTTGCCAGAATGTTTTCAGGATCCATAGCCTTTGCAGTATCCAGTGCTTCCAGCTGTTTTTTGATATTTCGTAGAGTGAATCGAATTGGCTGGAACTGGCATTTGTAACACTGGGGCTAATGGACGAGACCGAGACGGATCACCCACTTGGCACTTCTGGTTGAAGACTGTACTGGGCTCACGCAATGTTGAGGATGGGGATATTTTCCTGGAGGAGGAAAATCTAGAAGCAAAAAGGACCATCTCAGCAAACTCTACGGACAGAGAACACTAAGCTGCCTTCCCAGTCTTTCCCTCTGGCCACTAGGCCCATGTTCATTTTTGAGTATCAGTCTGTTTATGCATGGCGAGGGTGAGTTTATAAGGGGTTAGAGTTTTAACTAGTAGTATTATATACCAACAGTTTATAATTGTTTACCTGTAGTTAGAATCTATTTATTTGTAATAAATATTCATTATTGTTAAATACAGAAATCTGGGCTGTGCTTTCTGTCAGCCTGAGTCTAAAAGACAGATAAATTGGGGAATTTTGCATACTTATAAAATGTTCAACTTCTGTAATAACTCCGAGAATAGCAAGGCTTCATTTCCAGTGCACTATCCCAGTGGGTTTAACATGTGAGGACGGAACCTGACTCCACAATGACTGAGGTTGAGGTCAAGTATGTTTCCACAAAAGCAGTCCAGCAGCCATGTTCTTTAGGATTCAATAAAAACAAAATACTGCAGATATTAGAAATCTGAAACAAAGAGAGATTTTCTGAAGAAGGGTCTAGGCCCGAAACGTCAGCCTTCCTGCTCCTCTCTTGGCCTGCTGTGTTCATCCAGCTCTACACCTTGTTATCTCTTTATCAAAGAGAGAAACTCAACAGGTTTGGCAGCATATGTGGAGAGAAAACAAAGTTAATACTTTGTGTCCATATGACTTCTCTTCAGAACTGAAAATGCTGCCATACCTTCTGTTTCTCCAGAATTCATTATGTTTGGTCTTTAGCTCTTGGCTTACCTCAGGGGTGGTGATAGATAATGAAACTCCATACATTCTGCATTCCTGTTTACTCCAAGTGGTGTTCAATGTGGAGGAGTACTTATTCATCAGCCAAGAGGAAGGGAGTGTGTACATAATAATCAGAAGGAGGCTTCCTTGCTAACGTTTGATTTGATGCCATGATACTTCACAGGTTCTAGATTCAATGTTGAGGACTCCCAGGGGAACTCCCTCCTGATTGTATACCACTGTGTTATCACCTTTGCTGGGTCTGCCAGTGGGACAGGACAAAGCTAAAGATGATGATGCTGGTGTGTGGAACATTGTCTGACAGGTAAGAGTATGTGAGACTGCTTTCCCAATTTTGGGTGGGAGTACTTGTTTTCTAGGTATCTAGGTTAATGGCATGTGGTCTATTTGGTTCCATTCTTTGACAGCTTTTAAGGATTGGACACAATCGAGTGGCTTGTTTGGCTATCTCAGCTAATAAGTCAACCATGTTTGGAATAACATGCAGGCCAAATAGCATTTTACAACAAAGGTCATCATTAGACTAATTAATTACGGCTACCTGAATTCTAATTCTACCATCTGCTGTGGTGGAATTTAAACCTAGAACCCGAGAGCATTGCCAAAATCTCTGGAGTACTACCCAGCAACAATACCACTGCACCATCACCTCTCCCCTTCACATCCTTTCTAAAACGTGGTGCCTGCAGTTGAACTCAATGCTCCAGCTAAAGCTGAGTTCTTTCTTATAAATGTTCAACGCAACTTCCTTCCTTTTCCAATTCGTCCACATTGAACGTCATCTAATACCTGTCCACTCATTCAATTAACTTGATTGTGCCATTTTCAAGTTCTACATTCACAGATCACAATGCTTCCAAGTTGTATTTCATCATAAATTTTGAAATTGTGCCATGTAGACCAAAATCTGGTCACTAATATATATCAGGATGAGCAACGGTCCAACAATGAACCCTAGGGAACTAGGCTACAGACCTTCCTCTGGCCTGAAATATGTCCAGTATCAACTAACCTCAGTTTCCCGTCATGCAGCCAATTCCATACAAATGCAGTGACTGCCTCTTTTATTTAGAGGTTATTGATTGTGCCAAGAATATGCAGATAGTAGTTTCTGGCACTAATTTAGTGGGCAACTTTACCCCGCAGTTGCCGCAAAGCTGAAAGGATATCACATTCTTGGTTCTTTGGATCAGTTCATAATGATCATAAGTTTAATTTACACAATACAGTATGATTTTCCAACCTCAGCACTCTGTACCAAACTATTTGGCTCACAATGTGGCGAAGCACAGAGTCTTACCGGGATGAGGCAGCTGACAGCACTGCCCGATGACCGTAGAATGGCTTCCCTTCCACCAGAAATGTGATGTCTGACTGTTCTCGGCAATTCAATAAAGTGGGGTCTGCAAAAGGAACCATCAAGGAGTTAAATCTATAACCATCTGACCTTACCACATCCCAGTGCAGTGCCTCCCCAGAAAAAAACATACATTTCTGTAGTGTCTTACACAACCGCCTGACCTTAAAGAAGTACTTTACAGTCAATGAAGTATAGTCACTGATGTAATGAACAAAATGCACAGCAAGTTCCTGCAAATAGCAATGTGATAATGAGCAGATGATCTATTTAGCGATACTGGTTAAGGGATAAATATTGGGCCGGAAACCAGTAATTACATCTGGCTAAGGGGCAGATAATGCTTCAGTTTAAATATCTCATCTGAAAGTCAGCAATTCTGGGAGTGTAGCACTCCCTCATTACTGCTAAGGCATGTCTGCCTCAATTTTTGTGCATAAGTCATGGGTAGGACTGACCCAGCGACACAAGTAGAGCTAAGTGAGCAATAGCTGATACAGCCACCCCTTGACCAATAAAACCTACCCACTCTGTGACAGTAAGAGAAAAGGTAACCTAATGCAGATAATTTTTACCTGAAGTGAAACATCCAGGAGCGGGTCCAGATACTGCAAATGTGACAACCTACAAAGTCTGATGCAACAACAGCACATTACATACAGGTGATATTATCAGATTAAAATGCATTAGAAATCAGGGCCAATTAGAAATTCTGATGAAGGGTCTAGGCCCGAACGTCTGCCTTTCTGCTCCTACGATGCTGCTTGGCCTGCTGTGTTCATCCAGCTCTGCACCTTGTTGTCCTAGACAGGGATCATTCATTTTCAAGTATTGAGTCTAACAGAGTTAATGAGCTGGCTCTATGGTATAACACTAGCGGGGCAAGGATTGCAATGTTGATATAACTACTGAAGGTCAGGTTATCAATTAGTTTCACTTGTTGACGAGACCATGCAATACTCACTAGGTGCAGCCTTGATCTTCTCACTGCTCTCCTGAATCATGGGTATAGGATAAGGCCCATAGCAATGGCTGAAGATGGCTGCCAGCTGCCGCATAATAGCATCGTTCTGAAAATGTAACACAAAGACAGTACACCACATTAATCATTGGGTCTGTATCTAGCTCATTCAACACTTCGCAGAGATACTCAGCTTCCAATACTCTCAGAATCCTTACACACGGTTCAGACAAACACTTAAAGTCTCACATTCTACATTGTAGACCAGGCACTGTCCAAGTTCACTATCACACATTGATTGATTGTAATATTCTCAATAAATTTTGTAATGTTTTTCAGTCGTCACAATTAAGCACTTATTTTGGAGTGACATGTTAATCCTTGTAATTCTCTTTCCAGATAGCAGTCCAGGCTGTGTCATTGAATATATTCAAGGCTGAGTTTGACATATTCTTTGATCTACAAACGAGTCCAGGATTATGGCAGGAAAGTAAGGCCACAATCAGATCAACCGTGAGCTTACTGAATGTGACAACAATTTAAGGGGCTACTCCTACACCTACTTCTTACAACTATATAAATGACAGAGTGCAATCTGGACTGTCACACCATGCTAGATGAGGTTAAGAAACTCATGTTTTGTTATCAGAGACTGCTAAATTGATACCTGTAAGAGCCAAAACTGTTAGATTCGGATTTGTAATAGCACAAACTGGGAGATAATATTGTTGGCTTGAATGAAGACAAAATTGTACCTTGCTCAGGCGGAATATGTCAAACATGAGGGTCAGTCCTTGGGTGATCATTTCTTGGCTGTATACATCCTTCACAGAATCAAAGTCCTTCAGCAGGTAAAGAGTTATGGTCCACTGCCGCTGGATCAGCGAGGTTGCCAGGGACTTCAGCCAGGAATGTACAGTCCATGGAACACCTTGTGGGTGTGAAGAACAAACACTTAAGAAACTTCTGAAGACACTTCTGAAGAAGGGTCCTAACCCGAAACGTCAACTTTCCTGCTCCTCTGATGCTGCCTGGCCCGCTGTGGTCCTCCAGCTCCACACTGTGTTATCACTGACTCCAGCATTGGCAGTTCTTACTACCTCTCACTTAAAAGGGACTAGCTAACATTCAATAGGAGGCCTTCTCTCCACTACTCATCCCCACCATCACCACCACATCCAATGAAAAAGCTAGAGAACCTTACCTGAGGCACAGGAATATCTGACCTGTATATATTTCACATAACCAGAGCACAGGCAATTGGATCAAGTCTATAATCTATAGGAAGATTACTAGACCAGCAAGGGTTGAGAATTATTCTATTCACTATAGTATCAGATAGACCAGAGATTCCAAAACACATCCCAGCCAAAGAGAGAGAGCGCAATAAGAAGAAATCTGTTGTGAGAATTTAAGGAGAGCTTACTGTGTCAGCATGTGATGAAGTACTATACTCACCATGGTTGTGTAATTCTACGGTGATGTCAAGATAATTATGCTCAGCACTCTGATTCAGGGCATCCTGCAGAGCTTTCCTACGAGATTTACTGCTGCGATTTACCCCAGGTTTCGCAGCCTGCTGGTCGCTGACCTCTGCCCCTTCAGCAAGGATGTCCTCCAAGGACATGATGTCATTTTTTACGGTGTCTGGCTGTGACAGAAGCTTCTGCAACACATCCCTGAGCAATAGTGTAAAACAGAGTGAATTAACAGAAAAACTGCAAAATATATATTTCCAATGCTGTATGACTCCATATAACTGAATACAACAGCACATTTTGTTAGTGAAAGACAACAGTGCATCTTTGAATGTAAATGATCAATACACAGGGCAAGCTATTCACAAGTACTTCTAGTCCCTCATTAAAAAGTTTCCCAGTTATAGCTGTCTCTGTCCTCATTCCACCACACCCTCGGTATAAAACTGTCAGTTAAGACACTGTCCTTCTCATTCTGATCATAGTATATTGCTTTCAATTACAACACCCACCCTACCCTACAGCAACTGCAGGAGAAGGCTAAAGAAAATTCTATAAACTACCACACTCCCAGTATAGGTTTTCTGATACAACAGCTTCTGTTACCCACACCCAGTAGTAGACATGAGCCTTTCCTAATCTCTCACCTGTGTCCATGGGCAGCAGCCTGACTGAAAGGATTAGTAATTCCTTGCAAAGATGCAGTGACTCCATTTTTACCAATGGATCCAGCCAGGAGATCAGCTCCTTTCTCCAGTAGCAAACTGACCAGATCTAGGTGACCTGTAAATCACAGGGTGAGAATGAGAAGGGCACAGTACATAGAGAAGTATAGGAGAGGGAGCATATTATTTATGGGTATGGTATGGTAAGGAGGTATCTTATAATCTATGTTTAATACAGAGGATGTCATTTTATAGCTTGGTTATTACAAGAAGGTCATCTTATAAAGTGGGCTTTACAGGGAAGGTATCTTGTACACTTTTGTTGGAAATGCGTTTTTATGCATTTCTATGTAGCAATACAGGAAAAGGCAGATTAAAAACTGAGATTTAGACAAGTGCATTTGATGTTTTCTTGTTTTTTTATTTTTGAAATGGTTCATGGGACATGAGCATCATCGATAGAATTTATTGCTCATCCCTAATTGGACTTGAAAAGGTGGTAATAAGCCCGCTTCTTGAACAGCTGCATCTTGTACAATGTAGGGACATCCAGAGTGTTAGGAAGGAGCAATACTGAAATAACAACAATATGGTTCCAAGTCCAGAGAATGATGTGTTACTTGGAAGAAATTTGAAGATGGTGGTGTTCCCATGCATCTGTTGTCCTTGTCCTTCTAGGGACAGAGTTTTGGAACGTATTGTCAAAGGAGCTTTGATGAGTTGTTGCAGTGCATTTTGTAGATGGTACACATTGCTGCCACTGTGCATCAGTGGTGAAGGTAGTGAATTTGAAGATGGTGAATGGAATCAAGCGGACTGCTTTGTCCTAAATAGTGTTAAGCTCCTTGAGTGTTGTCGAAGCTGCATCCATCTAGGTAAGTTTGAGAATATTCCATCACACTCCTAACTTGTGTCTTTTGGATGGTGGGTAAGCTCTGGGAAGTTAGATGATGAGTAACTCACTGCAGAATCCCCAGCCTAGGAACTGCTTTTGTGGCCACTGTATTTACATTGGTGGCTCTGATCAATAGTAACCCTTGGAATGTTGATAAGTGTGGGGTTCAGTGATGAAAACACTACTAAATGTCAGACAAATGGTTAGCTTCTCTTTTGTTTGGACATGATCATTGCCTAGCACTTTTGTGATGTTCAGCTGAAGCCTAAGTGTTGTCTGGGTCTTTCTGCACATGGACATGACTGCTTCAATATTTGAGGAGCTGGAAAATAACATTGAAATCAGTCCAACCAGCAGTTATTATGCAGGGAAGATCATTAGTGAAGCATCTGAAGATGGTTGACCTATCAGACAACCTTGATGAACTCCTGCAGGGCTGTCCTGGAGCTGAAACCACCAAATCATTTTGCTTTGCATCAGGTATTAACTCCCCACTGGTGGAACTTTCTTCGATTCCCACTGACTCTAGTTTTTCTGCAGCTTCTTGATATAACCGTTGGATCAATGCTGCCTTAATATCATAGACAGTCACTGTCACTTCACCTCTGCAAACCTGCTTTATCATTCATGTTTGGACCAAGGCAGTTTCCAGTGCCTTCAGTCATTTCTTGATATCACATGGAGTGAATTGAATCAACGAAAGACTGGCACCAGCTTGGGACTTCAAGTATGCTGAGTTGGATCATCTACTTAGCACTCTGGCTGAAGATTGTTGCAAATGCTCCACCTGTTTCTTTTGCATTGATGTGCTGGACTCTCACAACATTGAGGATGGGGATAGTGATATGCCTTCTTCTCTGGTTCACTACCATTTACAACTGTATGCGACAGGACTGGAGAGCTTAAAAATAATCTGTTACTTGGGGAATTGCTGTGCTATGTCTATCACATGCTGCTTCTATAGTGTAGCTGCATGTCTGTGTTGTCTTGCATTGTAGCTTCATCAGGGATGGACAATAACTTCTGGCCCAGCCAGTGATACCACATTTCATGAAAGAATAAAATGTTGCCATCTCGTTATTAGGTACAGCTGGTGGTATACCCTCCTGCCCTTGTCATTAAAACTCCACTGATCGCCCAGCTCGATGGCAATGGGAGGGTGGGGGATATGCCGGGTCACATGGTTATAGATTGTTTCAGTTGACTCATGGATGTTCAGTTTTATGTTGCCAGATATATACTAAATCTTTCTCATTTAGCACACTGGTAGTGCCATACAAAATACAACACATTCCGTCAGTTTGAAAATGGGAGTTTTGTGTGCACAAGGACTATGTGGTGGTCACTTGTACCACTACTATCATGGACAGATCTGTTTACACTAGATAGGCTGACGAGCACAAGGTCAGGTAGGTTCCTTTCCCTTGTGTTGGTTCTCTCACCACTTGCTTCAGATCTAGTCTTGCAGCTACAACCTTTAGGACTCAACCAGCTTGGTCAGTATAAATCTAAGGAAGGGGTTGTGCTTAACATAGAGAAGGTATTCTAAAAAACAGGATGCAACTTCATTTTAGTGCAGGCTTTTTGACAAGACCTGTGATGATGTGTTTAATTCAAATTTATATCAAGTACATTTATAAATTAATTAAAAATTGAGATAAGCTTTCCACAACCCTGGGCTGTAATCTACTGTTAGGGGACTTGCTTGAATACATATACAGACTACAGCACAAATTTAAAAGGTACAGAGCCAATCTGATGAAAGGCTTCTGTCAACACTGCAACAGAACTTGCTGAAACAGTCAGATCCACTCTCTCTCTATTCCCTTCCCAACAATGACCCTTCCCCTAGCTGTTGTGTACCTGCTGCAGCTGCCATCTGCAGAGGAGTTTCAGAGCAGCTTCCTTCACCAACACAGCCATCAATGTGGGCCCCGGCATCCAACAGCAACTGCACAGCACAGAGAGAATGTCACACAGAGGGCAATATTGTAAGTGTACACTTAATTACTTACACATAATTACACTTAATTACACAGAGAGAAATTATATTTACTGGCAAAAACGGACAGGCTAATCCACCCTATGCGTCCGCCTTTGGCTCACCTGAGAATTCTTCCACTTTAATTACTTCTAGACCCACTAATTCCCCTGTATCACTCGGTTCCTCCCTGCACAATGTAACCCTCTAGTACACTCTGCCCATGGTATCCCTCCATTTCTACCCTGCCTCCATATCCTTCCAATCCCAAATCGCCCCCTGTATCACTTCATTCACAGCCTGCCCCCTCCCCCTCCATTCTTACCTACTCCATGTAAGACTTCAATCTTCTGCAGTCCCTTTTCTTTTAGTTCTACAACACCCCTATCCATTTGATTTCGCCCTGTGCCCATCCTTTATGCCCGTCTCCATCATTTATACAGCTTAGTTCAATTGAAGTGTTTTAAAAATATAAGGTAATTGATTGGGTGGAGACAGTGAAGTACTTCTCCAGTATGGGGATGAGAATGGTAGAGGTAACTGGAAGATTAGAGTTGGGCTGTTCAGCAGTGAAATCATGAGGGACATTTCATACACAAGTTGTGGAAATCTGAAACTTCCAAATGCTGTGGCAGCTGGGCTTCAAGTGGAATTTTTGACTGATAATTTCTAGATTGGTTGAACAAAATCTATGAAGCTAATGCTGATAAATGGATTCATGATACCAGCCATGATCTAACTGAATAACAGAATGAGCTCAAGGGAACAAATGGTCCAGTTCAGTTTCTGGTCAATAATAAGCCCCAGAATGCTCATTGTGATGGTGGGGCTGTTGAATGTCAATGGGTGTTGGTTAGATTTGTCTTGCTGCAGACTGTCATTTATGTATCGTGAATTAGCTCACTATTAACCCAAGCTAGAACGTTGACCATGTGTTGTCACATATACATACACAGACTGTTTCAGTATCTGAGGAGATATGGATGATGCTGAGCACTGTGAAATCAGTGAATATCCCCACTTCTGACCTTATGAAGGGAGGGAAGATCTTTGATGGAGCAGTTGAAGATGGTTAGGCCAGAAGTAGGCATAGCTTCACTGCTCTTTTTCAAAACAGTGCCATGGAATCCTTTGCCTTCACCTGAAAGGGCAGTCAGGGCCTTGGTTTAAATTCTCATGCAACAGGCATGATTGGCAATTGTGTGGAACTCCCTCAGTACGTCACTGGAATATTAATTTTATTTAAGAAATCAAGTATCTAGGATGGGATTTACACCCACGAACATCAGACTCAGAGAACAGTGCTATTCACTGAGACATTGTTGACAACATGGATAAATGAAGAGTAGTTATACAATCTGTGATGGAGATAGTAGGAACTGCAGATGCTGGAAAATCTGAGATAACAAGGTGTAGAGCTGGATGAACACAGCAGGGAAGGGTCTAGGCCCGAAACGTCAGCCTTCCTACTCCTACGATGCTGCTTGGCCTGCTGTGTTCATCCAGCTCTACACCTTGTTATATACAATCTGTGATGATGGGTTAGCCCCAGAGAGAACAGCAGGCTTCAGAAAACCCTGCTCCTGAGGTAAACCAAAGCCTCTCCAACAACAGTACAGGCTCCAACATCCGAAATAACTCTTCGTTAATCTATGGGAAATTGGAAGTACTCAATATTTACTCAACTAAATGTACAAAATTGACACACTTTTGTACCTGTGCGATTGACAGATGGCCAAATGCAACTGCAAAGGTGAGAGCAGTCCAGTGTCGAGTCTCTGCATGGACAGATGGGCACTGTTGGGAATAACCTGGCACCTGCAAACCAAGTATGACAGTTTAGGAGTTTCACAAGCTTAGCAAGTCATTGCTAGAAATAATCAATATTTAGTCTGTTCGAGCACTGGGTCATTGTTTGTATAGAGGCATCCCAATTAAAGTTGACATGTTTCATTAAACATCAGGGAGATCAGGTATAAATAGTCAAACATAAATTGTTGTGACACTGTGTCAGGGTCGAGGTGTTACAGGAAAATTCCACATTTGGAACAGGGTTGATTTGTTATAGGCTGACCCTATAGGTTACTCATGTGAAATATAACAATGTATTTGCACACACTTTCATGTGAAGTTAATGTGTCAATTACCAATATCTTACCTGAATATCAATGTCTGCTCCAGATGTCAACAGGACCTGAACCATGGCCTCATCTCCACTGCTCGCTGCATACATCAGTGGAGTCAATCCCTGAACAGAAGAAATCGCATTAGCTGAGGTAAAGCTGTCCCTCTGAGTTCATGGGGCTCACACTCAAAGGCAAACTTTAGAGATCACTTTCACACAAACAGAGAAGCAGAGACAGGTGGCACATCACCATACTAAGTTGATTAATGTTACATGAAACATTTGCAATTTATCAAATACAAGTTTATACTGCACTATAAAACACCCCTACGGTGTGCAGCAACTGTAACAGAAATGAAGGTGACTGAAGGGAACATTCATATATTCAAACAATGAGGCAGACAAGAGAACATTAGTCCTCACTGGGTTCAGATGTAATTTAGGAAAATGCAGTGTCAGTTGGATCAACAGCATAGTGAAATATCATGTGTCAAGATATATCTCCAGTCTCATCAGATACTCTGGTGAAGTATGAAGTATATCCTCCTTATAGTAAGCATCATGACAATGTGTGGAATGTTGACTTTGCGAGGAAATGAATAAGGGCTATGGTCATGTCCTGTTCTGGTCAGTGATTATTGGTACAGATGGCTGAATGGTGCACTGGGGTACAATCTCACCTCCCTTTCACTTCATATGCATGAGCAAACTTGCTTTACATCCTGCCTGTTTAGTTTATGGAGAATTTTATCAGATTTCCCGATTTTTAAAAGCTTCTTATTCAGATTAGGGACAAGGAAATATCTGATTAATACCGGCTATAACAATCCAGACAATGACATCGTAGAAAACAACCCCTAATATACATGATGTTACATCCTGGGTTTGAATGGACAACTGAAATATCAAGTTGACCTACTACTTTCTTAACTGAAGTCTCTGTAACCTCAGGTAGAGACAACATTAATAGATGTGAACAATAGTCTACCAGATTATTATAAAACAAGCAGCAATTAAACAGAGATAGTAGGAACTGCAGATGCTGGAGAATCCGAGACAACAAGGTGCAGGGCTGGATGAACACAGCAGGCCAAGCAGCATCATAGGAGCAGAGAGGCTGACGTTTCGGGCCTAGACCCTTCATCGGAAAATTAAACAGTTGCCTGTACCCTCATGATTGAAACATTTGGAAAGATTAAATATTGTTTCCTGCTCTCCAAAAGCGACAAGTAGAACAAGAGATTTATTCCCCATTTTAGTAATTTCATCACCAATATATACATAGTCAGATTTTACAGTTCACCTAAGTGATTGAGTTTCTTGCTTTAGGTCTTTACATGATCAAATAACCATGAAGGTCCCTGTCTTAAAAATATCCTTTTCCATTGTTATCTCACCAACCTTTGCTTCCTATCTTCCCTGTTCCTGAATAATGACGTTACACAAGACGGAGTGGCACTGCTGGTCAAAGCTAGTACTGTATTTGCAGCACCCAGTTTAAACAAATTCAACCTACTAATGTGGTTTAACCATAAATTAACAGTAGTTTATCTGTCTTTGGTGCATATTATAGACAATGTAAAATTACACACATAGTCATACAGTCACAAATTTACAGCACAGAATAGGTCCCTTTTGCTCATTGTATCTGCGTTGGTCAAAAACAACCACCTAACCATTCTAATCCCATTTCCCAGCACTTGGCCTATAGCCTTGTATGCCTTGACATTGCAAGTGCACATTGAAATATTTCTTCAAAGTGATAAGGGCTTCTGCCTTCTGCCACCCTTACAGGCAGTGAGTTCCAGATTCCTAACTCTGGGTGAAAACGTTTTCCTCACATCTCAAGTAAAGCTTCTGCCCCTTTCCTTAAATCTATGACCCCTAGTCAGTAATCCCTCCATCAAGGGGAAAAGTTTCTTCCTTTTTACCCTGCCTATACTCCTCAATTCTATACATGTCAATCATGTTTCTTCTCAATCTTCTCTGCTCTAAGGAACATATTCCTGCATGCCTCTCCCCTACCTGTTCACTAAGAGCATTGAGTCCCTCTGGTCCCAGCAATGCAGCGGCTGCGTTCACCAAATCAGTACGACCGGAGTTCAACATCTGGAAGCCCAGATTCTGTCTCAGTTTTAGCTCTGCCTGCTTGGTGTCCAGTCCACGGGACGGATATAAAATGCTGTTAATCCTGTTCAAGTTAAACAGAAAGAGGTGAAATTCATTTTGATGTATTAACTTCTAACATAGATTAACTTCTGTTTCCCTTTGCTGTGGAATCCAAAACCAGAGAACACAGGCAATTTAGGACTGAGATTAGAAAGAACCTCTTCACTTAGGGGGCTGTGAATCTTTAGAATTCTCAACCTTAGAGGGCTTATAGAAGTTCAAACATTACGTTCAAGACAGAGATTGAGATTTCTATTCACCAACGACACTAAAGGATAAGGGGATAGCATGGGAATTATGGTACTGAGATAGATGATTAACCATGATTTAGAACGGCAGAGCAGGCTCATGGGCCTGAATGGCCTACACCTGCTTCTACAAGAAAAGATTTCTTCTCAACTGCCTGCATTCCTTTCTCCTCCACTCTTGAAGATTAACTGCGTTGAACTTGAACCTCTACAAGATCTGTGTAACCTTGTTATTCAATGTCCTATCCGAAATACTTCACAGATCAACTGTGGCTCAGTTGATAACACACTCAGTGCTGCAGTTCAGAGATCTGAGCACATGATCCAGGCTGACACTCCAATTCCGTACAGAGGAAGTGCTGCACCATCAGAAGTGTGGAAGTAAAAGATCCAAAGGCAAGATACTATTTCGAAGAAAGGCAGGAAGTTCTCCTCAGTGGCTGGGCAGTATTTATCTTTCATTCATATCATTAAAAGTGGGTCATGATCATTTATCTCATTGTAGTAGCTGGGACTTTTCTCTGCACAACATTGGCTGCCACATTTCCAACACTGACACGACAGAAATACTCCATTGGATGGGAAGAGCTCCAAGATGATAGAACACTGTAACATGTCCGTGGTCTCTCAGAAATTTACGATACGGTTTAGGTTTTCATGATAATTAGGTAATCACTCCACAACATCGAGAGTATTTCTCCAACTGGTGAGTTGGGAACCAAAGTAATAGGATTATGTTGAATAGAACACATCTCCATTACATCAAGGATGCATATCAATGGGATCCCCATTCTATCTGCAAGTTTAACATATGAACAGCAATAAGTTATTTAACCTCTCAAAACTTTATTCAAGTAGACATCAGCTTATCTTTATCTTCACCCATTTATATGCCTTAGCTCCATATGCCAAATTTGAGTTAGTGAAGCTTTGCTCACCAGAGTTGTCGGGGTTCACAGTCTACACCTGGAAGCAGAAGCCTGGCCGCCTGTCGAAGGTCACCAATGTCTACTGTGAGACTGTATCTGTGATCTGCCTGCGCAATGCATACCCTGATCCACTCAACCACCGGTGGGAGAATCTCATACGGCCTGAAGGGAAGGAAATGCATGCAAAAACAACACGAGCCATCAGAACATCGATATGCATTTGACCTGGACTCCGCCTCTCTTCAGAAGCTATTAAGCAGATATTCAGCAAACACCTTGTTACAAAAGCATGGCAAAGCAAATCCTCAAACATGCATGTTTTGTATGTCCCTGTGCATTGGTTCCAGTTCTGCACAATACATTCAGAGGGAGAACAGTGAAGATCTTAGAAAATAATTCTGTTTAATACTGCCCAAGTTATTTGAAACTGTGCAAGCGATGAGCTGGAGGCAGCAAATTCAGCTAACCTCTGCCTATACTGATAATGCCCCTTGATATAGCACCTCATTTCTCAAAGCCTTTGGGCTAACAAAATCAATTGTCAAAATCTGTCTCTTTTTGGTCTATCACCAAATTATTTATTACTACTCTCACTGATGGACAGGGGATTTCCTATCTCCTCTTCATATGAAAGTTGGGAAATTTTATAAGCTGACTATACAGTTTGAACATACGTGATTTATGCTACATGAACTTAGATAACGATCATCATCTCTCTTCACATGCAGGGTCAGTGGTTACTATATCTTGCATCAAACCCTATCCAACATCAAAGACTTTTCACTTCTTGCAGCAATCACCAATTATGTAAATTACTTATCATATCTCTGAATGATGTTTTAACTATAAAAGACTGAGCTCAATGATACTGTTTAATCTCAGTAGCATTTGATAAATGTGCAAACCAAACATCATTTCCCTTTCACAGCTCACAGTTATCAAAATAATAACAAAGCAACCTAGAGAAACAGTCAGCTACTCAAAGTCAATCTTAGTTTATTGGTATCTGCCTCTGTCTTTGGTCTGTGAAGGGGGCTAAAACTGACAGCAGAGAGCAAGTTTGAGTCAGTCTTGGATTTACATTGTGGTTGAGTTTGCATCTCTGCTTCTTGCTTTCAGAGATCTGAGGTGATGGAGCACCAGATTTTACAATTCTCTAATTTCTTAATGTGGCTCAGATTCCCTAAAACATGCAAAACTGGAAGCGTTCAAATTACTGAAAGCCCTGTGGAATATATGGTGTTTTCCCAGAATGACTCAACTCAGCAAATTGTAGAATTAATCAGTATGGACATTTTTGAGAAGTCCCAATTTCAATTGTCTCACCTTTCACTGCCCAGTTTTATTTGTGGTGGGTCAGTGTTGGGATTCTCCAACTCCAGATGAGGGCAGCGCATGTAGTAAAAGAGCCCGTGAAGAGCCTCCGGCTCCCAGGAGTACGGCCCCTTTTTGAAATGTAGCTGAAATCCCTTTCCAGGGTGCTTTGCACCAAATTGATGGAAATAATACATCGCTTGTGAGACCAGGTCACCTGTGGAATAGAAAAAGAATAGTCAGAGCCAATTCTACGTGGCATTAGTGTAATCCCCACCATCAACAACTTTGGGGAGAGGGGTAGTGGAGTCTTGACACCAAACAGAAACTAAACTGCACCAACCATGTAAATGCTGTGGTTTTCTTTATCTCATAAGACAACGGTGTCATTGACTGGGCCATTATTTATTGCCCATCCCTAGTTGCCTTTGAGAGGTAGTGGTGAGCTGCCTTCTTGAACTGTAGTCCATGTGCTGCAGGTACACTCACAATGTCATTATGAAGGGATTTCCAGGATTTTGACCCAGCAACAATGCAGGAACAGTGATGCATTTCCAAGTCAGGATGGTGAGTGGCTTGGAGGTGAACTTGCAGGTGGTGGTGTTCCCATGTATCTGCTGCCCTTGTCCTTCTAGATGGCAGTGATTATGGGTTTGGAAGGTGCTGTCTAAGGATCTTGCTCCTCCTGACTCCCCTAGGCCTTTCCACCATCTACAAGGCACAGTTCAGTAGCATGAAGGATTATACCCCATATCCCTGGGGTGAGTGCAGCTCCAATTCTCTTTGATAGCAGGTCACAGAAAGACAAAAAAGAGCTTGCATAAGTGTCATCCCATCACTACTTCAAAGATTTTCTCTGTCCGCCACCAATGTAAAGTAGCAGCAGTGCATACCATCTACAAGATACACTGCTGTATCTCACCTCCCTCAAGAGCATCTTCCAAATTGTGGCCTCTATAACCTAGAAGGACAAAGGCTGCAGCTCTACAGGAACTTCACCATCATCAGGTTTCCCTCAACATCATGTACTATCCCAACTTAGATGTACATTGCTTTCCTTCACTGTTGCTGGATCAAAATCAAGGAACTCCTTCCCTACACCTCATGGGCTACAGCAGTTCAGGAAGGTAGCTCAGCACCACTTTCTCAAGGACAATTGAGAATGAACAATAGATGTTGGCCTTGTCAGCAATAACCCATGAATGAATAAAGTAAGAAAAAACACTTTATCATGCTAGAGGCAATTCTGAAGCATAAACTGCAATTCGGATCAATAGTGCTGCCCAAGGACACACAGACAACTCTGTGAGCAAAGTCATCAGTGCACGACCGGGACAGTAACTGGGTTAAGTGTTCAATAGAGAGATAACCAACAAATAATTATCCAGAAACTAATTTGCCCTGTAGTTATATTCCCAATTTATGTTATCAAACAATTATCTAAATATTACAGTATAAATCCACACCCCATAACTCTCTGAATGAAACAAATCTCTCCCTCTATATTCTAAATCTCTCAAAGTTAATCTGATATCTCTGTCCATTGTCTTAGACTCCCCAGTCACTGGAAAAGTCTATTACTATTGACTCTGTCTCATCCCTTCATAATTTTAAACATCCCTATAAATTCACCTTGTAATTTCCTCTGTTCCATAGATATGCTGATGTCAGGAAGCAACATATGTACCTCAAAATATCCACTTGCAACCTAGGGCATGTATGTGATAATACCAGAGGTCAGCAGCTCTTTTTTTTTGTAACATGAAGTGGGCTTTTTAAAAATGTCTAAGCTTGGCATTTCTACACCAAATGCATCTGGTAGAATGCATAATTTGGATATATAAAATATATGTACCAAATTTATCAATGGAAGTCAAATCAAATTTAAAATAGTCCTAAACCTGAATGATCACATTTTGTAACATAAGTAATATTTTCATGATAAAATCAACATTAAAACAAAGCTTAACCTCAGATTTGTAGAATTATGAGATATTTCAGTTATTGATTCATGTTGATTTAAAAAAAGCTTCAAAAAGCACATTCAAAATGATTTATTTTCTCAACTATATTAGAAATAATAATGGTCACATCCTAAAACTTTGCTCCTCAAATCAAAACCAACATCTGTAACTGTGGTCTATCACCAGAATATTTAGAGCAGAATAAAGCTTCTTGTTAAAATAATCATTTGAAACAAAAAAGTATTGCGCAATGATTAGCCTTTTATACCCGCAATAAAACTCATTATTTATGACAACTTTTTTTTAGGCATTAAAATTAATACAGTGCTATGTGAAGGGATAAGCATCACGTTTTACTGACTGAGTTCAGCAATGGTGCCCACAGAGGTTGCCAGCATAACCTGCTCCAGGTTCCTAAGGTCCAAGCAATTGTACAGTTGACAGTGGATCGATCTTCCACTTTGATAACGTTCCATGTACAGGCTGAGGTAGATCGGAATGCAAGGCACACCTGCGACCAAGGAAATACAAGTATTATTTGATCAATGGTGAGCTAAGAAAACATATTCAGCAATGGAAAAGCACAGAGATGTCTCTCCACCTATTCCAACAAACATTATGCATAAGGGAATTCCATAGACAGCAAGTGACAAATATGATCAGTTTTTTCAAAAGAAAGATTGCCTGCTCTTGTTTAGAATATTCGACTGAAATCATTTCAGTGATCCTTTCTTTAATGTCTCATCTGAAAAGAGGGCACAGACGACGGCAGTCAGTGGTAAAGACTAGCAAGCTCAGATGGCGGTCAGTGGCGGTCAGCAAAGCCTGGTAAGGCCCGATGGTGATAAGCAGCGAAGAGGCTGGTGGGCTCAGGTGGGACTTGGTCCAGCATGGGCGTAAGCGTGTCTTTGTGGGGAAGGCTCAGCATGGCATGTCTGCAAGCCCATGGTTTAAGAAAGGGCCGTAATGTTTAACTTTTAACATTATGTCTTATTTTTACTTTATACTAAAAAGAATTGTACTGTTGCAAGTTTTAACATATTTCTTCATTTTTCTATTTGTACCCAAAGCAGCACTGGGAATGGTGACATTGTTCACTTTTCACCGTACTCCTGTACTTAAGTGCACATGACAATAAAACCTAAATCTAAATCTGATAAGGCAGCACTCTCAAAAGTATTTTACTGGAGTGTCAGCTTTGATAATGTGCTCAAATTTCTGGAGTGAGGCTTGAACATATAACCTTCTGATTCAGAGGCAAGTGTGTAACTCAAATGAACCATGGCTAATAACATGTCATTTTGGAATGGAATCTTCAAGGGGTTGTTGGAGTCTCAGATCAGAAACTTCCTGTTTGATCTCCAGGTGCAACAGTCTTCTGGGGACCTGCTGCCTGAAATCCAATGACACACCTGAGCAAAAAGGTCTGGCTATACTCTACACTGTTGGTTCTTTATAAAATGAACACCATCCTTTCTCAGTTAATTATCACTGAAATGAACTTTCCTTCCCAATACAAGCACAACTGATATTACTAAAGGAGTGAAAATGACTGCTCAATATCTTTCTGATGTCACTCTTTGGTTCAGTAGTTCAGATATACAGAAACTGATTAATAAAAGTATCTCAGCTCTGGTGAGGAACTGTTCTGAACATCAGTCTGCAAAAGTATCAGCATGGCTCCACCCACAGAACTCACACTTCAAAATCAGTTCTGGGTTTAATCCTCATTCCAAAGAATTGAGCAGGTTGAATTTCCAATGCATTGCTGAGGGAATGATGAACTGTTAAGAGAAGCTGTTGTTGAAGGTGCAACAGCAAGGTCCATTTGACCTCTCAGATGGTGCAAGATCCTACAAAACCATGTCAAAGAAACAGAGAATTTTCTCTGGTACCAAGACCAATAACCCTCCTTCAACCAACTCCAATAAAGCTGATTATCTCATTACAAAATTTCCTAAATTACAACAGTGATTACACTTCAAACACAAGATTGAATTTATAGTACTTTGGGGGCATCTTCAAGTTGTGAAAGACTCTGTTAAATTTAGGTCTGCTCTTCTGTTACATGCTTCCATCCCTACATCCACCCTGCCATTCAGAGATGAATATTTTGGGAAAAGGCAGAATACCTGGGCTTCAGTTTGCTATTACAATCTATACTCATGTGAACAATTGCTTTCTGTTTCAATGGATGCGTAGACTTTTATTTGGTATCTGTTTAATCCTGGACCCACTAAAGCAACTCCATCTCAGAGAGAATGAGATGCACTGATTCAATGCAGTCAGGTTAACCACCATTGCAACAGGAACAACGGTCCTCGTTGCCTCGACGGTCACACTCATTGATCTACACACTGTAAGAATGGTTTGCAGGTTTTTTAGATGATATGCTGCAGATTGGATGTCGTCATGTATCAGGCAACACTGATAGAAAACTTTGAAAAATTGGTTCCCTGTTGTTACAACGCCACCAGATTATATGATAAGAACTGTTAAGATGATGAAAACACGTAGGATGGTAGATGGAGGAGCATACTATACCAGACAGACTGCTGTCCCCAGTAACCCAGTGGAACTGTTTCACATCAGATAGACTGCTGTCCCAGAATCCAGTGGAATAATGTTACACAAGAAAGAGTGCCGTTTCCAAGCCATGACCTTAGAATGACTTCAACTGCTGGGTAGGAAATGGCCTAGTGTTACTATCACTGGATTGTTAATCCAGAGACCCAGTTAATGTTCTGGGGATCCAGGTTTGAATTCCGCCACAGCAATGGTGGAATTTGAATTCAATAAGTATCTGGAATTAAGAATCTAATGATGACTGTGAATCCATTGCTGATTGTTGGGGAAAAACCCATCTGGTTCACTAACATCCTATATGGAAGGAAACTGCTATCCTTACCTGGTCTGGCCTACATGTGACTCCAGACCCTCAGCAATGTGACTGACAATCTGAGCAATTAGGGCTGGGCAATAAATGCTACCTAGCCAGTGATGCCCCCATCCCGTGAATGAATAAAGGGAAAAAACATCAGTAACACTATTACCTTGTACATACGTATGTGCCTTATTATGTGTGCAGCATGTCTTTGTGTTTGTGTGTTCCTTATGATGTCTTACAAAACATAAAGTACTCCTTACACTATCACAAAGCTGCAACTTGCAATTCTCTGCTTACGGTTACTGGTCTATAGTTATTTATAACTGAGTGTGCTCAAGTTGTAATCTACATCCTGCAGCACTGCTAACCTACGCAGTGCGGTGAGAAGACGTTGATATGTCTGGGCAAAACCTAGCTGCTCAGTTCCCCAGCAGTGGGCCAAATGACGGAAGTCTGCTGAACAGGAAACCGACAGTGACAAAACTTTACTGTGGAAAATTAGCCGAATTTTGTTGCAGCACAATCTGCTGTGGTTACAGAAAGAAAATGACAGCATTGACGGGAAGTGTCTAGATCTTTGAGTTCTTTTCAACAGAGAAAACGGCGACTTGGTGTAACGCATTTTGTTAACATAGCAGGTAGTGCAGGAGACTCCTGGAGTCCTGCTCACAAATTGTTTTTCCATTTTGGAAATTGATGGGAGCACTGGTTTCTCAAGGGAGCGCAGTCAAAGCCAAACTTCTGACACTACAAGCAGCCTGACTGTACAGGAGTTGTTGGGGGTGGGAGGGGGGAGAAGAAATGGAGGTACAACAGTGAGATAACAAGGTGTAAAGCTGGATGAACACAGCAGGCCAAGCAGCATCAGAGGAGTAGGAAGGCTGACATTTCGGGCCTATACCCTTCTTCAGAAATGGGGGAGGGGAAGGGGATTCTGAAATAAATAGGGAGAGAGGGGGAGGCAGATAGAAGATGAATAGAGGAGAAGATAGGTGGAGAGGAGACAAACAGGTCAAAGAGGCAGGGATGGAGCCAGTAAAGGTGAGTGTAGGTGGGGAGGTAGGGAGGAGATAGGTCAGTCCAGGGAGGACGGACAGGTCAAGGGGGCAGGATGAGGTTAGTAGGTAGGAGATGGGG